TTTATTATTATTTTTATTTTTAAAAGTGACAAAAAGTGACAAAATCACATAAAGCTAATCTTGAAAATATTTTGAATTTTATAAGGTCAATTATTTCAAATCGTTCGGAATTTAAGAAGCTCGCACATTAATTCTTATCGCGGAGGGTCAAAATTAGGTGTCAACAGTACTTATAATATGTGATTCCTATAATTTATACATAAAATAAACATGTGTTATATATTTACTATACACAACTAAATTCAAATAATTACATTATATAACTATACTTGGGATTTTATACTGAATCTCTTCTCTCTCCTCCCTCGCTCCTTCTCTCCCTTTCTCATTGTCTCCCCTCTGTCTCTCGCCTAATACAAATGGGGGATATTACTGATACAAATCACGCGAGAAATTTGTATTAGGCGAGAGTTGGTGGAGACCTCTTTTCTTGTTTGATTTCATACTCAAACTCTCAATATGTGTGCTTAAATAAGGGAGAGATACAATATTGATACATTATTATATAAGTCGTATTATGAAAGAGTATACAACACATGATACAAATGTATAACAAGGACAAAATACAGTTGAATATATTGATATAAATCTATACCTAGTTGCAGATACACTCAAATACATTGATACATAGTGAATACCAAGAAACATATACACTTGATATAATTTTATTTGTTGATACATTCGATACACTTATATTCGTTGATACAATCTAATATAACTTGATATAATTATATTTGTTGATACAACCTAATACAATTTGTTGATACAACCTAATACAATTTGATACAATTGTATTCGTTGATACACTTGATAAGAAGTGAATACACAAGGGTCAATAAACATATTAACTTGACCTTAATTAAAAAGTTAACATATCCTGAGAAGCACATCTAGACACCTCAACTCAGTTAAATCAGATCCGTAAATACACTCACCCTACATGGCATTTCGCACGTCTGTATGGAGACAACTTAAACCGAGTTCAGGTGATAAGATTTGCATTTTCACCGTGGGAGTATTTACTTACCAGATGAGGTAAGATGTCTATCTATATATGTATT